TCGTATCTGTTGTGGTCGCGTACTTACGAGAGGATGAAGTGGTCGGTCTTGGAAGAAGAGGAGGAGGATGATGACAATCGAGGTCGGGGAGATTTTGATGATTTCCGCCTCACTACCTTGACTGATCATGCCTCGCGGAATGGCTGTTTTGCCTTACGTTTGCTTACCTTTTTTGGTCCACCGTTTCGCAGAAATTGCATGAGATGAGGGTGGCGGTGAGAATGGGATACGGACGCATGCTTCGCACTATCTGCCCGACTGGGTGCTCTGGGACGCCGACGTCTTCCGCGTCGCGAGTGCCTCCCAGCTGATCAAACCGCCCAGCAGTGGCAGGCTCAGCTAGTCGACCTGACTTCGGTTGATCTGTACCGAGTTCAGGCCGTGCTAGATCGACGCAGCGAAGTCTTGTCCAAGGCATGGCAGCCGCTGGGGCGGCGTGCCAAGCGTGTCGCTGGGGCGGCGTGTTCAAAAGGAAGATGTTTATTATCTCCAGGGGTTTAATATCAGGGGCACCGGGTTATCGGGGACACAGCTCGGCGGCAATGCTGGCGGTCTTGCCCACCTACCCCACCCACGTGGCAAGCGCCTTCATTCTGGGCACAGCTTGGCGGAAACGCCAGTGTTCTCGTTTTTTTCGACAAGTCAGAGGTTCTGGCCTCCTGGACACACCCCGGCGGCAATGCTGGCGGTCCCGCGCACCTACCCCACTCTCGAAGCATGCGCCTCTTGGACACAGCTTGTTGTATTCATTCAATTCGTCGGAGGTTTAACCTCCAGGACATAGCCAGGCGGCAATGCCGACGGTCGGTCCTGCACACCTACCCCGCTCACGATGCGTGCGTCTCTCGGACACAGCCTGTTGTTTTCATTCGACGCGTCGGAGTATTTAACCTCCGGGGCATAGCCAGGCGGCAATGCCGACGGTCCTGCACACCTACCCCGCTCACGAGTCGTGCGTCTCTCGGACACAGCCTGTTGTTTTCATTCGATGCGTCGGAGTATTTAACCTCTGGGACATAGCCAAGCGGCAGTGCCGGCGGTCCTGCACGCGTGCCTCACCTACGAGGCAAGCTCTCACGGACGGACAGACTTGCGATAATGCCAAAAGTCTTCTCTTAAGGACATCAGCGCTACAGTGCAATCGTCCTCCTCTTCCGTACAGCCGTACAGCTAACAATTGTTGGCTAGAGTGTCAATCTGACGAAGCCATCCCCCACACCAGGGTCGGTCGACCCTGGGGGGCATCATGCTAATAATTATCCTGTATCTCCGGGTGCACACACCTACCCCACCTACGCGGCAAGAGCTTTCTGGACACACCCTGGCGGCAATGCCAACGTACTCGACACGTCGGAAGGTCTGCCCTCCGGGACACAGCCCGGCGACAATGTCGGCGGTCTTGCACACCCACCCCACCCATGAGGCAGGTGCCTCTTGGACGCAGCATGGCGGAAATGCCAGTGGACTTGTTTTTGTTTTGTTTGAGTGTTTGGACACGTCGGAGGCTCTGCGCTCCGGGGCGCAGCCCGGCGGCGATGCCGGCGGTCTTGCACACTTACCCCACCGACGAGGCAAGCGCCTCCTGGAGTCAGACTGACGGCAATGCCAGTGGTTTTATTTTCTTTCGACATGTCGGAGGTTCAGCCCTCCAGGTCACAGCCTCGCGGTAATGCCAGCGGTCCCGCTCACCTACCCCTCCCACGAGGCATGCGTCTCTTGAACTCAGCCTGTTGTTCTTATTCGATTCGTCGGAGGGTTAAACCTCCAGGACATATGTCCTCATAAACGCTTATCCTAAGCATTGGCGGATTGAATCTACACAACAGGACAGCGTCAAAATTGTAAAAGGAACCTCGGGGCATTACCTCAGGTTCAAACGCAACGCTAGGGGACCAGTGTGGTCTGCCCGCCACGTAACACAAATACTTGTGTTGTCACACATCATGTTTGTGTCCATCATTCGTCGTCCCCTCATGATGGGACGTCTGACCCACATTCGTTGGCCCCCTCGGTCACGGTGCGATGAGGCAGCGGTGGTTGCCACAGGATATGCGCTACATGCATCACCCACCATTACCAGGTACCAACATCGAGCACCTATTTCAAGGGTGGGAAAGCCCAAGTGCCCCATCCGATTCATAAGGGTTATGCCTACCCTCAAGAGCATCTGCGCTACACTGGAATCTTCTTCTTTCCTCATCCGTCTCGTCTCTCTTCCTTCCTCCTCTTCCTCCTCCTCCTCCTCCTCCTTCTCCTCCTCCTCCTTTCCTTCTTCGTCGTCGTGGGCAGGCTGGCGAGGGGGACGAGGGGGAGCTCGGACGGGGCTAGGACGAGGATAAAAATCCGTTCCAGAGCGTTCCGGAGCGCTCTCAGAACGCTCCAGAACGCTCTGAGAAGGCCGCAGTGCCCGAGACATCCTCCAGAGCCCCCGGATCTCAGAGAGTCTCCATTTGTCTTCCCCCGACGTTATCCTCGAGGCCCTGCCTTCCGTCTTCGGGGTGACGGTGAATTGCCCAGACACGCGACGTTCTGATTTTTTCAGCACGGGGTCCCCGGCAGTCCCGCCCCTCTCCTTGGCACCCGCTTTTCATCCCGAGCCATTCTTCTCGGCGGCCCCTCGCGAGGCCCGGCGAGGGCCCTCGGAGGCCGACGCCGGCCAAACGCCCAGCGGCCTCGGTGTCTTATACGGCGCGCTCGTGTCTGGGCTGGGCTGGGGGGGGGGCATGGCACGGTCGTGGCGGGGGTCACGAGATGCCTCTGCGGTCTCTGCGGCTGCGATGGCCCCCCGCCTCCCACCGCGGCACGTCCCCTGGCCCCCCGCTCCTCCGCGAGCTCGTGCCTCGGGCCATGCCCTGCGGCCCCTCCCCCTCGCGGAGGCCCCCCCTTCCTGGGACGCCCCCGCTGGGGTCCAGAGCGTGTCGCGGCATCGGTGCCCCTCTGCTCCTCCCAGACAGGATCGCGCCGTGGAAAAAGCAGGGCGGGAGGTCTTCGGCCGTCTTCGGCCCATGGGGGGGGGGCCCTCGCCTGGCCTCGGGACCGTCAGGAAACGACTCGGGATGAAAGCCTGGTCCGGGGGACAGGGTCGGGACTTCCAGGGACCCAGTGTTGAACAAAATCAGGGAGTCGCATGTTTGGGGCCCCAGTTGGGTCGGCCCCTCCGCGCTCGCGAGCTCGATCCCAGCCGTGGTCGGGAGTCGGCGCCGACCGCTGCGCGCGTGCAGAGGGCGTCCCCAGACATGCGGTGTCTTGATGTTTTCAGAACTGGGGGGGGCGTACGCTCAGGAGGGTGCCCAGGAGGCTTCAGACCCTGGAGGATCTCCTATCTGATGAGGGCGGCGATGATATCCACGGCCAAGCCTCAATTGGCGTTCCTCCAGCTTCCAGACTCTGGATTCTGCCATGGCTCCTGATCCAATGCCCTTACGCGGTCCCCGGAAGTCCCGACCCTGGCCTCAGGGCCAGCTTTGAATCGCCAAAGCAGCTCGTGGCGAAACGCCGCTCGAAAAGGGCTCGGCCGTTCCTTCGGATTTCGTAGGAGAAAACGGGGTTTCGCTCCTTGGTTCTCGTCCCCTATAGGTCAGGCCGAACGCCGTGTGGGGCCCTCCGGGGGCCGAGGTCGCGTTCCGCGTCTGCGTTCCGGCATTGCAATCCAAGAGGGAGTTCAGTACTAGTGGTCGATCCATGCGCTACGGAAAAAAAAACGTGGAAGAAGGATTCGGAGAAAGCACCTGCTTCAGATGGAACGGTTCTCTACGGTCCAAAACCTGAACACATTCACTCGCTTCGATCCCCTCTCGCTCCACATCTCCGCGGGGCCCTCCGGGGGCCGAGGTCGCCCCCCCGGGCGCGCGCGAGGAGCGCCGCGCGCTGGCTGCGCGCACGGCGGCCTGCAGTGGCGCGCGGCGCCCTTGGCGAGGGCGGCGGCGCCCTGGGCGCGCGGGCCTCCGCGCGTCGGGGGCCCGCAGGGGGGCGCCCCGCGCCCCCTGGGGAGGAGGAGGAGGAGGAGGAGGAGGAGGAGGAGGAGGAGGAGGAGGAGGAGGAGGGTAGCGAGGAGGAGGAGGAGGTTCTCGCGCTGCGCGCACCGCGGCTCGGCGCGGCGCGGCGCCCTGCTCTGCAGGGCGGGGGCGCGAGGGCGCGGGGCAGGCGGAGCCCCTCGCGCTGTGCGAAGACGTCACGGCGGGAGGTCTCTCGCGATGCTCGGCCTCCGGGCGCCCCCGCCCGGGGGCGCGAGGTCCGGAGGGGAAAAGGCACACAGACACGATTCGTCGTCGATCCCCCAGCAGATATGGGAAGACACGGGAAGTGGGGGGGGGAAGACAACAGCCCAGAAACGATGGGAAAAGATGGGGAATCCTGTTATTTGTGTGCGCGTGTGTGTGTGTGTGTGTGTTTATCTGCGTGTCCCAGGGCCCCTTCACGAAGGTTCTCGCGCTGCGCGCACCGCGGCTCGGAGCGGCGCGGCGCCCTGCTCTGCAGGGCGGCGGCGCGAGGGCGCGCGCAGGCAACCGCGCGTGGCGCACCGCGGGGCGCGGTGCGCGAGGCCGGGTTTGAGTCGGGCCTGCCCCTCTGGAGGCGGAATTTTCGAGAGGAGTCGAAGAATAGGATGGTGATGACGACTGTTCTCTGATTGTTGGACTATGTTTGGATATGTTCTGGCAAGGTTTGACCTTTCTTCCAGAATCCGCATGCAGGAGGACATGCCAGGCCGCAAGCGGCCCAAAACCTCCCGTCGTGATTTTCTCCTCCGGCGCGACCCAGACCCCCTCGCGTTGTGAAGACATCACGGCGGGAGGTCTTTCGCTATGTTCGGCCTCCGGGGGTCCTCGCCGGGCCTCGGGAGCGTCAAAAAACGACCCGGGATGAAGAGCCGGTCCGAGGGAAGGGGTCCAGACCTCTGGGGGTCGACGTTGCGAACAAGATCCCATCGTCGGGGGTCTGGGAAGTGCTTGGGTCGACCGAGGAGAGCTCATGAACTTCCTCCACGTCGTGGACCTCAACATGTCGGGGGGGGAGGCGGCCCAGGCGTGCGCTCGGCGCCGTGGGCCCGTGGGCGTTTCCTGGGCGCGGGGATTTGAACGAAGGATTGCAAAAAAACAAGGATTGCAAAAAAACCCAGGATTGCAAAAGAACCCTTCGTTTTTTTGCAATCCTTTTTGCAATCCTTCGTTTTTTTGCAATCCTTCGTTGAGGGCTGGCCGGGCCTCTGCTCCAAGGTGGGGCGGCTCTGCGAGGACCGACCTTCGGGCCCTCTCCGCACCACCCAGGCGTGATCGCGTCGTGAACATCGGAGACGAAAAAGCTGCATGAGCACAAACTTCTGGCGCTCCGCGCGGATTTCTGTGATCTGCGCGGGGGGCGCCCTGGCGGCGCCTCTGGCGCCGCCCCTGGCGCGACCCGCGCGCCAGGGAGGGGGGTCCAGCGCAGATCCTAGAGATCCGCGCGGAGCGCCAAAAGTTTGTGTTTATGTCGTTTATGGTTCTTCTTCTTCTCCTTATTATTATTAGCACGCTTATTCTTATTATTATCATTGTTATTATTGTCCATGTTAGTATTATTATGGTTGATGTCATTATTATTTTTATTATTAGTGTTATTATTATTATTATTATTATTATTATTATTATTATTATTATTGTTATTATTAGTATTCTTATTATTATTACTAGTATTAGGAGTATTACTATTACTATTGTTAGTATACGTATTGTTACGATGATGTTAGTAATCGTACTATGCTTATCATTTTAAATATTCGCATTGATATCATTATTATTCGTAGTATTAGTAGTATTGTTATTATTGTTGTTAGTAGTATTCGTATTAATAACAATAGTACGATTACTAATAAATTAGTAATACTACTGCTATATTGCTCGTATTATCATTGATGTCCTACCTTCCTTCCTTTTCTTCTTCTTCTTCTAAAACATCCTGACGGGACCGACCTTCGAGCACCGACCTCTGGGGACCGATCTCCGTTGGGTCACCGCCTGGGGGGCCGATCTTCGGGGGCCTCGGCGGGCGGTGGTTGTGGCTATTTTTCGGGGGCCCATGGGGGCAACATGGGGTACAAAATGCAGGCCCATGCCAAGAAACACCCTCTCCTCCGCCTCCTCCTCCTCCTCCTCCTCCTCCTCCTCCTCCTCCTCCTCCTCCTCCTCCTTCCGTAGCCATTTTGGCTCAAGGCAGCTGGCCAGGTCAGAGCAGGACTGCTCCCGACTCGGCCCGCGACACAAGGGTCGGGGGTTGACCCTTTTTCGCGCACTGAGGCATTTTGCCACCCAGTTTGTATCTCCAGACTCTTGTCTCGTTTCCTGGTAGTGCAATGGCCGCTGCCGAGGTATCCAATGCTCAGTTGCTCCAAGTTCTAGAAGGGATGAACGGCGGCATGAGCGCCATGAGGGACGGCATCAAAGATGTAAAAAAACGTCTTGCCGTTGCTGAAGGACTGGAGGAGAATATTTCCGATCTCGAGCTCGCCATGGAAGACAAGTTCGAAGAAGCTAAGAAAGCCCACCAAGTCCTCGTTCTCGACATGGACCTACGAGTGTCTCGACTCGAGCATGCCCATCAAGAAGCCGCCACCAACGCCGCCTTCTTTGACACCGAGGACGGCAACCCCACCGCCAAAAACGCAGGGCTCGAGATTCAACGTCAGATGAGTGAGAAGATGGCCAGGCTCGAAGCGTCACTTGTCGAACTACAGCGAGCTCCGTCCGATGCAGGCTCCGCTTCAATTCGGCCGACATCCAAGTCTCGTCGCTTAGGAAGGGGCACCAGTGCTGGTTCCAGCGCTTCCGAGATTCCAGTGATCGATCTCGCCAACGACGAGCACCACCAGATCGACCCTACCAGACGGTGGATCAGCGGTTGTCCTCGCCCAGTCACTGAGACGTATAGGCGCACAGTCTTCAACCAGATGAAAAGCCGACTTCCTGCCGCCATCAGCGAAGGGATGACAGGTCATTTCCACAAAGTATCTCAAGCGTCCGCCGTCACCTTCAACTCTGAGCAGAAGGCCCGCGACTTCCATGACTGGTTCTTCGCGAACCCCGTGACATGGCAGGACTACCGCAACACCTCCCTTCATCCACTGCGATGCCGCAGGGATATGCCGCTGCAGGCCCGCCAGAGGAACCGCGTCCTGAGCGCCCTCTGGCCGCTCGTCCGCAAGCACCTCGAGAACACAGGGAAGTGGAGCCCGCCAATCAAGATCGGCACCAACCCGTTCAAAGGCGTGTTCAGTATCACCACCGAGAACGACCACTGGGAGATCTTCAAGCTGACCGACGCCCCTGGAGGCATGTACGAGCTGAAGCAGATTAGCGACCAGCTCTCCGAGTGGAGCATCACCGAGACGACCGCCAACTGGATGGTCGAGCAGGCCCAGGCCTCCGTCCAGCAGTACTGACGTGATGCCAGCCTAGTATCGTGTGCTAATTTTCTGCCTTCTCCCGTTGCCTCGCTGCCTCTGTCGCCCGAGTCTTCTGATCTTTGTTCGCCTTTTCTGTCGAATGCTGAATTCGGAGCCCAGCCGCCTTCGCCTGAGAACCCAGCCAGTTCCCGCCTCTCTTTTCCGCCATCCCTGGCCAACGGTCGAGGTATTCGGACTGCTACTTGAAACTGTCACACCTTGTTCGGCGCGGTCTCTGGGGACCACGACACTCAGGTCAAGACCTCTGATCGACTAACCTAACTAGAGCAAACAATATCAGATGCTTGCAAGAAACGCACGGCCATGAAGGGGATCGCGAGTCGCTGCGTACCGAGTTCCCTGGCTATGAATCTTTCTGTACGTTCTGTCCCGACAGTCACGCTGGCGGGAACACGATCATGCTCGCTCGCTCTCTTCTCGCTCTGCTTCCTCAACATCAACACAATGTGATTATTCCTGGGCGTTCCCATGCCGTCACCATCCAGTCCGACTCTTTCTCGCTTACCATCTTGAACCTCCATCTCGACCCGGGCTGCCGCCACTGAGAGAAAATGAGGATCCTTCGCTTATGCGCCGATTTGTTGCACACTGTCCAGGGCCTCCTCTTCTTTGTTGGAGACTTCAACTTTTGCGAGCTGGGCGAGGGTGCCCGGCGAGTAGACGGCTCTGTGCAGATCAACAGCCCCGACTCCCTCGCCCATAAGTTCTGGTCGCTATTGCCTAACGTTATGGAATGCTACCAAGAGAACCCGACCCACCACACCACTCGGACTGGGAATGTGGTAAGTGCATCCAGGATCGACCGTATTTATACCAACATGTTTACTGGTGATATCTGGGATTTGAAGCCGACCTCTGGGACCTCCTGGAATATTTGTAACGCCGACCTCCCGAGTGACCACGCCCCGGTGTACCTGCATCTGAACGGAGGCGGAGACAACCGCGCTCGGGCCGTCGCCTCGTGGGTCTCTCGTCACCCTCCGTATCCGATCCTGCTTGAAAAGCTGATCAACGAGCGCGGGGTATGCGAAGATAATCCTCCGCTGATGGTTGAAGAGCTCACGTGCCTAATGCACGAAGCAGGACGTCTCGCCCAGCATCGCCTTTCTGAGCTTCCGCCCAGCTCCGCCGAGCAGCATTTGCAGTGGCTGTTCGCGGTGAATCGCGCCATGCGGAACCACAAGATAAGCACGCTGGAGAAGGCTGTCAAGGCCATCCCCGTGCTGCTCAACTTTCTCGACCCTGACTGTGGCACGTGGCACAACCAGTCAGCCTTTCAAGAGTATATGGCCAAGATTGCTGCCGCTCGGTACCAAAAAGAATATGAGGAAATCATTGGACATACCACGGAATCCCCCCAGTTTTATGAGCACCGAGCCGCGCGTCTTCAGAGATTGGCATCGGCCTGGTCGCCGAAGAATCGGAGAATATTCCTCGCGGGCATCACGGATGCCGAGGGGAACGCTTTCCCGACTGCTGAGGCTGGGGCTCATGCTCTAGCCGCTCATTGGAGTCAAGTTCACGCCTCTGCTTCATCTCAAATTGCCGCGAGGGGCCAGCTGGAGGAACATATTCAAAAAGTGAGGGAGGCTCTCTGAAGAACAGTTTTACGGAGTTTTGGATCGGCTTCGCGATTCCGCCCCTGGCCCTGACGGGCTATGTTACTCTGCCTGGTCCAAAGGGAACTTATTTGTTAGGTGGGCCGCCTACGCCATGTGCCAGCATATCATGGATTTCGGCCAGGTTTCAGACGTTTTCAACCTCAGCAACTCGGTCTTCCTCCCCAAAGGTTCCCTGGGCCGCGACGGTTTCGAGCTCTGGGGGACCCCTGAAATGACCCGTCCCATCTCCCTCTCCAACTCGATCAACAAAATTGTCGCTGTCGCGATCAACTGCCGCCTGAAAGAGGTTTGCGTGGACACCACTATTGGGATCCAAAGGGGCTTCGTCAAACACCGTAACATGCTCGACAATCTGATTGAGTTCGAGACGCACATGGTCGTAGGAGCAGGTCTTTTATGGCGACAGACTGCAGGCGCTACCCTGCTGGACATTAAGGCCGCCTTCCCCAGTTGATGCCAGGATTGGATATTTTTCGTGTTCGAGAAAATGAACTTTCCCGAGTTTGTACTGAATGCAATAAAGACGCTCTACGCCAAAGTTACCACCACCATTCTCCTGGGCGGGGTGTCTCACTGCTCTTTTCGGACCCTCCGCGGGATAAAGCAAGGATGTCCACTCTCGGGAAGCGTGTTCGCCCTGGGGTTCGACCCGATTTTGCGCTTGCTCTGTCTTCGGCTGCCCCGACCTGTCCATTTGCACGGTGCCTTCGCCGACGATATTGCCTCCGCCGCCTTCGACATCTACACGGCCGTGCCCACTTTCATGAAAGTTATGATGCTTGCAGGGCTCGCCGCGGGCCTCGCCCCGAACCTAAAACAAACGGTGATATTATTGTGCTGCGACCTTAACAGGGAGGAGGAGGAGAGGAAGTTCCAACGGCAGGGGATCAGAGTTCGGAGCTTCGGGATGTCTAAGTGTGCCAAGTATCTTGGCGCGATGTGC